GGAGAAACCACTTGCTATAATATTGTAGCTTTACAATATTATCATGGTTCTTTGTTTGCATGTCCAAGGTTTTCACGTGCTTTAGAGTTGTAATTTACAGCTTTGGACAGGAAAAAAGCTAATAGCAGCATTCCACAAGATCACACACTGTCAGGGAGAATAAAACTTCATGAACGAATTTGTTGTGTTTTGCTTTCACTGTAAACAAATATTGCACTTCTCTGACCAGCTTTCACCAAAAGTAATAGGACAACTCTCAAGGGATCTTCTGTATCTGTGGGAGGTTGAGATCTTTGCAAAAGCTGAATCCATTCTCACCCTCTTAATGAGTGGGCACAGTGCCAGCTCCTGCCCCCCCCTCCCCCCCCCCAAATCACCTCACATTTTCACTGTCATAGCTAACTACTCAAGTGACTGAATTAAAAATTCCGGTCCTGTTACAATTCCTCTACCACCTTGGTCACAGATGCAGATAACTGAGGCAATACAGAGAATGAAGGATGATGGCAAGTCAGGACAAATGTATTTCACAGTGCACAGAGGAAACGGACACACAGGACAGGTGATGCAATCACCACAGTAATTTGGCAGTCAAACACCACTTGGAGTTCTTTGCATAAGGGGATGCATTTCCTTACTTGTAAACCTGTGACACATTCAGGTCTTAACAATAAATTCAGTGATTTGTGGAAGGTCAGACTTCACTTTAGCTAAATTAAACTGTTACGGAATTCACACAATGATAAAAAGCACAAGACAAAATTTTCCTCAATTTGTTAGTTCCGCATTTCCTCAATACTCAACATTTTAACATTGTTTTTGGATGCCACTGAGTGGAGCTCAAATACCAATTTATAAAAAATTAAACCTTTCAGGCTCTTGCCAGGATCCACTACACGTTTCTGAGTCTACCTCATTCACAGACTTCACAACAGAGTAGTACTTTTTACAGTGCAAACACCCATCTAAATGCAGATCAGAAGTAAAATTAACTAAATGCTGCTGTTTAACCTCATCTCTGATCAGGACAAGGGATTGGCACACCAGTCCACAAGCAGAAGCTTGGGAAAGGAGGTTTTCTTATTTTTATATACACTGCAGTTGTGATTATCCTATCCTCAACTTCACACAATGACCTGCCTTTCTCATTTTTTCAAGATTCAAGTGTCCCCAAAGGTGCAAACTGCAAGGATTGCCGGTATCATTGATTTTGGCAGAATGATTTGTTTATACCAAAAGCTAGCATCAACTATTCAGTCAACGAGAACACATACTTTCAGAAGTTACTGTAACGATGTTCCTCTGTAGAAAGAAAATAATGATGCAAAGTATTTCTAAAATCACATCTTTAATAATATCTCTAACCTCCTCTGCATACACAGCTGAAGAGGTCTTGCTGTTTCTCTGCATAGTCAGCCATATGCATGACCAATTGTAAAGCTCTCCACTTATGCAGCTGGTACTTAAAAGTACTGTCAGGAGAGACACTAAAAGGATGCCCAAGATGCTGAAGGAACTGGTAAAACCTCAGGTGGCACAAAGACAACTGTAGTTGAATCAATGTCCAGAAGCCTGTTGGAGCTTACCATCCTACTGCAGTTGCTTGCACAGGCATTGAGCTTTATTAAATTAAAGATTTGGGGCTTGCAGCCTCTTTTTTAAAAAAAAAAGTCTAATAGGATAATTGCGGTAATAAAGTCTGCAGAGTAAGACTTGCAAAAGAAGAAGAAAAAAAGTTTCTCAGAGTAAATTTTGTTGTTCTTTAACCGAGATTATTTGTCTCCTGAAATACAGAACTTAATCTTGTACTGTACATTTCAAGACTTGCAACCACTACCGTGTTAAGTAAAATAAAACTCACTTGTATTACTAGTTTACTTTGGACTAATCCATATATTCCCTTACCTTAGCTATGATACGGCACAGGTGAGCACCTTCCTGGGTAAGGCTGAATAAACTACTAATCGCTGACTCAGTGACGTACATATTATCCGACAATTCTATTTGTCTCAGCAGGTTCTGTGTGACATAAGATAATAAACATAATTTACTTCTAATGAAAAAACATTAGTGCTATATTTAAAGATAAGATGGAGTAGAAAGTCTAGTTCATTTTATCCATATCATCTTGCTTCTCACAGAGGAAGGAAAAAAAAATATGAGCAGAAGTCAGACTGATAGCACTGTAACACATTTATCATTGCATTTAAATAGATGTAGCCAAGAATAGTGATATTTTAAAATAAATATGAATAGAGCAAGAGCACAGGTATGTGTGTGAGAACATTCAATAAAGATGTTTTCAGCTATTTAGTAAATTATTACTGGATTTGGCCTAGGATTGAACTAAAATTTTCAAAAGCCAACTAATTGTCTTAGTGTAGAAGCTGTATCACAAGGCGATATAAGATTTCCACATGATTTATAAGGAATATTGCTATATCCTTTCTAACATTACTTTCTAAGGCTCTGGGTTCGTCACTATTCTCAGTCTACACAGAAAACATCATTGCCCAATACAGGAAATTCTTGTAGAGAAATGGAGTTTTTTTCTCCAGTTTACGAAAAAGGTTAAATAGTTTTATCTTTGTAAACAGTTATCTTGCTTTTGCATGTGTGCCATTGCAACTTCAGAGAAACACAGCTGTCAGAAGAATATGATATTTATTTAATTTTACTATTTCTGAAAGTACATGCAATCATTAGAGGAAGAATTACTTATTTTTGCTAGGAGGAGGAAGGTAAGCATTTTTATATTTAATCCAACTTTGAAAGAACTGCAAGGAAACATCCCACATTTCACACTGTTTTTTTAAGAGGCTGCACTCTCCCACCTTTAGCATTACAAAATGTTCCATAAAAGACATAACATATCAGTTCACATTTTGATACAAACCTATCCTGAATAAAATCCTGATACACCAATTAGAAAAGAAAGCTCTTGAGTATACAGTTTAAACAGAGTTCTAGCCTTTCACATAGGCACTTTCTCTGTTCCAGGGCAGCAAACTACGCACAGACAATGTGGTTGTATGGCAGAAGTTGGCATGCAGCCTGACTGAATGGCTCAGAAAACTGTTCTTAAATATGTTTTTATTAATGACCTCTAATTCAAGTCTTCAGCCACACAAATACACATGAGATGATGCAGAGTAATTAATTCTGCTCCTTCAAAAGAAAAAGGAACTAGGACTTCAGGTGTATCAGTAGGTGCCAAAGTGCCCAAAGACAGAAGTATTAGCAATGAAGAAATGCTTTTCAGATTAAAAAGAGTAAGCATCAAAACAGTGACAACGAACTCTCTGAACCTGCAATATGCAAAATTATTTACACACTAACTCATATGTGGTATTCCATGTAGTTCTCATAAATCCTAACCAAAGCGCATTAGCAAGTGGCTTGTTAGTTTGACTGTAATTCTGCAAATGTATTCTGGAGATTCTCACCTGCTAGTAATAACCTTTTAAAACTATAAGGGATGTTTCTGAAAAAGCCAAATTTTTTTTGGTTCTCTTAATGCATCAAGGTATGTTAGAATTTAACTACTACCATGCATTAATTTTGTTTTAGCACCTTAATAAATACTGTTTAACTATTTCCTCTTCACTAAGCCTCTGGTTTCCTCTTTTTCTGCAGGGACAACACAAAATTTCAGCATAACATCACCTCTAAAATATGGGCAAATTAATTGAGCACAATTACATTTGGGGGTTTTTATTTGAGGAAGATTAGAGGGTGCAAAAGGATTTCTAATGAGATCTCAAGAAAGAAACCAGTGTAAGTCAGGATAGATTGGTTAGACTTGCAAGTTGCTACTATTTCAAGAATGGTCTAATGGAAAAAAATTAATGCATTTGTAGTCTCAGCCTAGTTACTCAGTATATTTATCTACATTTAATCACCACTGGAAACTATATATCATGCCCGTAATGATACAGCACTGTTTCTGGAAGGTTACACACACACATATAACCTGTACACAACACTATTTTATCACTACTTCCTAGAATCTAAGATGTGCACTGGTTAAAATGTGTGCTGTAATAATATACTTGCTATGTGTACATCTTCTAAAAAGTTTAGCTTTTAATGAGAATCATTGAGAGCAGGAGAGACTTTTTTCAAGGTTTCTGAAGAGAAGCAGTGCTGAAAGGAAGAGAAAATGTATCCAAAGGCCTTATTAACAAGATGTTGTCCAGAAAATAGATGCCTTGCAATAAAGGAGGCACATCAGGAAAAGTAAGTAACACAGTGAGCCTCTAGATCATTTTGTTTGGGATTTGACGTTACTGGAGAATTTGAGAATACAAGCACCTAAATCTCTTTGCAAGATATTTGATCTGCTGATCATAAGTTTGCTGAAAATTGAGAGCTGTAATTTGAATCCTCCTCTTAATAGATGCTCTCCCTCAAGATTCAACAATTTTGGAAGATTTTTTTTTTTTTTAAACTATAAACTAACCTGTGCCTCATGTGTTAAAACCAGCTCTATCAACTGGCCAAAATACTGAGCAACTGTAGTGAGTGTTTCATTAATACAAGATTTCATGGACTTCAGTATCTGTTCATCTTCAGTTTGTATGCACCTGAAAAGAAAGAGAAAGAAAAGGGATGAAGGAAGAAAAAAAAAAAAAAAAGATGCAACAGACAACTATTGTTTCATCAAGCTGATTGTCACAGGTGAGCTCTGCATTAACAGTGGGGATATAATGGGAATTCAACTGTTCATGAGGGCACTGTCTTTGTGCTATTAGCATCATACCAGACTTCAATCAAAGCTTTGTCTACGCATAGCAAGTATACCATTAAAGGACAACAGTGGACATTAATGAATAATTTTGGGATCACAATTTAATTCACGGACTGCAGGCCAAATTTTGCTGCAGATACTGTGTGCTTATACCAGTGTAACTCTGCTATATTCCACTTATGCTAACAGTTACAGTCACTCTAGGATGCCTGCATTTCAACTGAAGCTGTGTTTATCCATCCATCTTCTCATAACCAAAGAAAGTGCTTTCAATCATTTTCATTTCTTTATTTTCTTTGCCATAGTTTAATGATAACAGGGTAAGGACCCAAAATGGATGTGTGTCCAGATAAGTAAAGTTCATTTAAATTTAAACAGCATACTCAAAAATAAAATTTGGCCTGTGCAGAAAGATTACGTACAGCAGCTTTAGAGAGTTAGCTTAACTATCCTGTAAACCAGTGATATTTGGCTGTAACTGAAGAAATGAGATAAAGATGGAAAACTTCACACAATCCAAATGAAATAACTAATACTTCTTCACAGAAATGCATTCATCTGAATTGTCAAAACATATTCCACCCAGGCAGGCCACTGTAATAAAAGATATAGTTTGGTTGATCAATGTCTCCACCTACACAGTAAGTCCTCTTTTCAGTTTTACCTGACTTTCACCCACTTATATCAACTTTTTGTCAAACAGACAAGGGAGAGGGCTGATTTCGGGCAGACACTATAAGATCTGAGCTCTCATTAAATCAGTGTGTCTCATAGTAGAATATGAAAGTAAAGTCCGAGCTGTGTGGGTTTGGCAAAAAGCAATAGTGCTCAAGAAATGTTCTTTCCTGACAATTAGATGGTGTCTTTTTTTCCCTGATGATCCACCGAGCAGAATGACTTGCACAGTGTTTAAAGTAAATCAAAAAAGACTGATTGAACTGTGCTGGAGGAAACAGGATAATTTACATTAGGCAGGGGAAATATCATGAGAAGAATTATAAAGAGATTCTTATTTTCTAGTCTCAGCATTCTGGAGTTCATGAAGCTGAGTAAACCTACAACTGCAGTTTAAAGGAATATGTATTTATTTCAGTTTGATTTACTAATACATGGATATGTGCATACAGGAACATGCAGTATGACAGTCTCGCAACGTAAGTTTTCACACCAGCTGAAACCTTGCCTCCACAGAACTTGAAGGGAACTTTGTCACTGATATCATTAGAGCCAGACTTTCTTCCTTGATGTCTAAATGCCCCAAAAAATCCACTTGCATGCAGCTTTGTGTCTATGTCAGGCTCTTTGTGCAACAGCAGATCCCATCTTTCATTAGGATGCAGTTTAGATAAAAGCAACTCACTTCACCCACCAGAGGCTAACATTTAGAAAGCCTTTCAGAGCTGCGGGGGCCTAGTTCAAACATTTGAAGGTGTTAGTGGATTTGTGCTTCTCATGAGAAATTCTACAACATAATACAACAGCAAAATGAATATCTCAACTAGAAAATTTAAATTACCTTTCTGTGAATGCTGTAAATTCTGAACACTTGTCTATTAAAAGTTTTTCAAACTGCAGAGAGAGAAAGAGAAAGTGATTTTCAAGCAATATCCATACACACAATTGCTTTTTACAAATAAAAAGTGCTTGTTTATGATAATTAGGTGAAAACCCTCCAGAAACATAATATTTCATATAGACTCCCTTTTTCTACTTCTCTGAATAAAATGAACAGAGAAAAAACTGAAGTTAACAAAAAAGTATTTTCTAAATTGTAAATGCAAAGGAACTCACAGATGGGGTGTCTAATTACTTTAGTCCAGTAATCCTCAAAACTGAAACCTTTTTCAATGTAATTTGTCAACATTATTAACATTCAGAATCAGGTCTATGATAAATAGGATCCAAAATCAGTCAAGAATTGTTCCATTGCTGAAAAGGGATTAGAAAGTCTTAAATAAGGGACCAGTATAGGTATGTAAGGATTTCTTACAGATTGTTTAAAATAAGTTTTAATTATTACAATAAAAAAATTAAACATGACATCAAAACAAACATGACATGAGGTAAGGCATCCTACCCGGTGCATTTCTTCTGAAGAATTCCTGGCGAACGTGTTGTATTCATTTATCATTGAACGCACATGGCAGTTGACTCTTACTGTCATGCTGTGGACTCTCTGCCATCTGTTCTTCTCTAGCTTTTGAGCAATCCTGGTCAACTCCGTGCTTATGATCCATGCTCTTTTTAATAGCACCTGCAAGTTATCACATGTGCCATATTGTGAGGAAAGGATAAGTTCGTTTTGTTCATCCTTCTCAATGCTGATTGGTTTGGACTGGAGAATACACATACATTCGCAGTCTGTCATCAGCTTCAAATCTTCCATCCATCGCTGAACGGAGTCCACCTGAATTAAGTGCATGCTGGAAGGCAGAGGAAAGAGAAGGAAGAATGAGATAAAGCGAAACAACTTTAGAATAACTACCAGCAATACCATAGAGTTGCATCCATGTTCCAGGTTGCAATCGAGTGGCAAAAGGCAACTAATTGAACAAAGAATTTGCTTGTAGTAATACAGCGACATGCTTAACTTTTTTCTATTCCAAACACAGGTTTTGGTTTTCTGGTCACCTTTACACCACATATTCTGCTATAAAATTATTTGTGAAAAATCTGTAGAGAATAGAGAGAAGTAAACAGGAGAAGTTTAGACTACACTTTTGGGGGGAAATGTTTCTTGTACATTTCAAGACTTTAATATGGTGAAGAGGCAAAGTTATGGGTGTGTTTGCTTGTTGTTTATGGGACTTTACTGACAGCTTTTTCTAGACACTTTGCCTATTAGACAAAAGAAAAGTTTTACCTTGCAGCATCCCTGCAAAGCCCATCCACCCACTGTGACAGAGCCAAACCAAGACAGCAAACAATGTTGTCAGCAGTATGTTTCTGCCATATCATAAACCCTTAAACCTCAGCTGGATTCTACTTCCTGACCAGTCCTTTACCTTCCCCCTTATTTCTCACTGCTATCTGTAAAATTTGCATATCTGACTCCCAAAGTACGTTTTTGCACTACAGCAAATGTGATGTGAACCAGTGAAGCTGAAAGAAACTCCTTGATGAGTATCCTGACACAAGAGCAATGGGCCTGTATTTTCTGCCCTTGCACACTCCAGCCAGCCAAATGTGGTACCTGAGACAGAACCTGTACTGAGCTCATCTTTGTGAGGGATCCCAAGTTCCCCAGAGCTTTGAGGCAGAGTTGCCTAGATTTTTTTCTTACAGTGAGGTATCCAGATCCTAATTAAAAAACCTTAATCCTCATCCCAACCATGCACATATACAAAGCAAGGTGTTATTAATGTTGTATTTAACAGTGTATAAAGGTCCGGTATGGGACCCTAAGTCAGGGCGAGCAAAGTTTGCACAAATGCATTCATCCTTACCTACTTAGTCTTTGCAGACAGGCTATGGTTTCTCCTTTTGTTTCATTTAGTTCAGGGAATTCCTTACTGGCAGCACTCTGGTCCCTTTGACTCCCTGGAAATTTGCCCCCTCCCTCTGAGACCTGCCTGGCCCATTGCTGCCTCCCGCACTCTCTCAGACCACCTGCACAAAATGCAGGTTCCCAGGTTTGTACTGTGACTCTCACCTACCACACCTAAGGCTGGACCTCTGTTTCCATTTGCAGAAGAGAGCTCCCCAAGGAAGGAGCATTGCCTCTGCTAAGGGGTCCTATCTGGCCCTTGCTTCCAAACCAAGGACAGAACAGACACTGTCTATCTCCAGAAATCATCTGTCCAAATCTTTTTTCAGATTTAACAGTAGGTCCAGATTATTTCAGTTTACATTTCCCCTCCCCAGTCTTCACAGGAGAGCAGTTCCTCTGGTAAATATGTACATAAATATATATAAAAATATTTGATATCAACAGTAGATATATAGTAAGTATATATACAAATATATATATAAATCTAAGGGACAGTTACATAGAGCTAAGGGAAAAATATGAAAGTTACTGTTAAAAAGCAAGCCATAATGTATTTCCAAATTACTTAAGTTTTCCTCATCTTTATGCGAAAATTTATAAGATTCTCAAGGATGGTTGACGAAATTAACCATGGTTGCAATGGTAAAGACCAACTTTATCAGTATCTGTCCCCCACTAGGCTCATTATATCCCCTTCTCAATGCAACATCATTCACCGGTAATATAGGAAAGCAGGAGGCCAAGAATTCAAAGAATCACTGCAAGTCTCCATGGCATAGGAGATTTTGATTTTTCTATGTCTAAAACCGTTTCTGCAGAATTTATAAACACAAGCATGACCAACAAATGTAATATTTCCATGTACAATACACTTCCAAAAGAGGCACTTTACTGAGCAAGTATTTCAGATTTCTGATCTACAATGAATAATTTTTTTTTTTTTTCTGACAGTTTTCATCAGCTGAAGACTCATCCTTAATTTTTGGCACATCTTAACATGAAATACTTCGAAATTTTAGTATCTCTTCCTCCAGCAAAAGATGGATTGATACTAAAGGATTCCAAAGAAATGGTGATGAAAGGTAAAGAAGAAATTAAATTAAGTGAAAGCAAGAGAGACTGGGCTTAATTATTTTTTTCAAACTTCTACTGCTATCCTACAGCTACTCTGCCAGTGTAATGGATTGTTGTTCACCTTCTGGATACATGCTGCAGTTTTATATGATGCTATACCAGAAAGGACAAAAACAAAGTTTGTATTATAGCCCCTATTCTTTTAATCCAGATACTGATTCGTTGCAACTCAGCATCACAGCAGTAATGCTCTGTGCTGTTATATATAAAGTCTTACTGTTATAACAAAATTGGCAGTTACATTAGCCAAGCCAAGGATAACCAGGTGGAAGGCCTTTTTAATTCTTGTGCTTCCATTTATACAGTGAGCACCAGCTGAACTCAAGAAATCCCCTTCCAGACCATTGAAGTAATATTCCACAAATGACCAAAATTTATTAACTTACATGTGAAAAGGAGGCTTACCTCAAGCATAATTTCACATAAATCAACAGCAAACAAGATACAAGAGATCAGTTTCATTGATCCAATCCCCCATTTCACCATATATGATGGAACTACTTTTAATTTTAAACTTTACAGGTTACTGCTATTTAAGGTCTTTATTTAACTCAGCTTTGAATATTGTGTAATTGCATTTCATGATCGATTGTGGCTCATTTTATTCTTGCTATGTGTAGTCTCCTTATTGCCTTTTTGGATCTGAAGCAAGGTTTCCTAATAAACAAAAATAACAACTTTAGAAGTTTGAGACCATAATTTATAATGATGTGCCTAGTTTGCATGCAGTACAGGATAAACTCCTTTGACATAGAGTAATGTCTTTTTCATTTCTAAAGTGCACCATGATAATTGATTAAATCTCTGTTTAGCAAGTATAAATAAACTCCTACATTATAAATTCAAATGGAAAAAAACTAGAATAGAAGGTTAGTCAGGAAAAAAAAAAATAATGAAAAGCTGTTCATATTTCCTTTAATCCCAAAAACCAATCTTCACTCTGAGGAGAAAAAAGGATGACAGAGTTGTACGAAAAAGGTATAGATGTTAAAAAAATTCTTCCCTTTAGCCTCTGTTCCTACTAATTGTCAGAAGTACAACTGTAGAATTTAGGCTGTTCTATCATTGAAACTTGGTATTCCTTAACTCACAACAAGGGCAAAAATAGTACCATTCACCTCCTTTCAGACAGAAGAGCCGCAGAAAACTCCCCCTGCTCACTATGTTAACCTTTCTAATATATGTGTATTTTAAAAAATAATGTATCATGATTATTCAAGTGAAATACACAAACGATTCACCTTCATCCACATCTCCCTGTATTTAGAGAAAAATCTTCCTAAGCATTCAGCAGATGAATTTGTAGACTAATTTTTTATCTATTAAAATAAGGAAAACAAAAAGTGTGATCAATCCTAATTAGCTGTTAAGAATGATATTCCAGACAGCATTTAGTGAACTCCAAAAACAAGTTGAAAACTTCCATTTTGTCTCCCCATTATTGAAAGAAAAAAAAAAATTCTACACCTACAAATTAAAAACAGCCATAATGGGTCAGACAAAAAAAAAATAAAAAATCTGTCTAGCCCATTATCTTGCTCCAACATGGCCATTAGGAGATGCATAAGGAAAGATTATAAGAGGCATGACAAGAGTTGAGCAATCTCTCCTTCCCATCTTCTGGCAATTAGTGGTTTAGGAACTTCCTAAGCCCAAAGTTGTGTCTGAGCAGGATGTTTTTACAATTCATGAAACAAAAGTAGCCATTAATCTCTTTTTGAACTCAGTTAAACTTTTGGTGTTTACAACATCTAATGGTAGTGTCTCACATTGTTTGATTATTTTTTGTACTAAAAAAATGGTTTCTATTGTTTGTTTTAAACTGGCTGCGCATAGATATTGACACAAGCTTTTTAGTTCTTGTATGCTAAGAGATACTGAAATGATAGTTCTGCATTCCTCCTCTTTGTGTAATTCATTATTTTATTTGCTCTACCCTATCTTCTCAGTTTTCTCTTTTCCAATGTGGAGAAACTCAGTCTATCTAGTCTGCCACCATACAGAAGTGATTCCACTCCTCTGATCATCCACTTACTCTCCTCACCTTTTCAAAAAGCCTTTTCCAGTTTTCTTATGTCCTAAGATGTGATGGCAAGAACAGCACACAATATCCAAGATTCAGGTAAATTATGGATTTATACATTCGAATTACATTTTCTGCACTGTCTCTGTTTTCCAAGAATTCAAAAGATTAGATTTCTCTTTTACTTAAGTGTTTTCCAGAGAGCTGTTTCAATTTTACCTTCCAGAAAAATCTACTTATTTTGATTTCAGAAGCTTTTCCATGAGTGATAATAGATAATTTAGAGTTCGCTATTCTATCTGTACAATGAAAGAGATTGTTCTTCAGTTCCCTTCCCCTCCTCACAGGCACTACTTTATGTTCATTAACATATACTTTCTTCTGGCATTTTACATTTCAGTGACGTCATATTGTGAGATTTTTTTTTTAAGTTTGCACATTATTTTAAATTAACCTGAACAGTTTTTCACCAGCAGGAAGTGTTGTTATCCTGCTATAACAACTGTTTTTCAGGTCATTAAATACATTAAGCAAGCCTGGTTTCAGCATGAGACCTTACTGGTGTGATTTTCCCCCATTCTGTTTAATTGAGCAACAGTAGCTGGGTACCTGGCAGAGATCCTGATGCATATAGATAGTAGTTCCCCACCAGTTAGAACTTCTGAATTTAGTATGTCATGGCATATTGACAAAAAAGCAATTTATCTAGACTCTACACTATAAAAGCAGCATTTCATGTAAAAATAGTAGTAAAAATAATTCAGTGCAAAATAAA